GGCTTGAAATACATCACTCCATCCTCCTCTTGTCTTGTGGGTTTGTGTTGAGAAGTCTGCTGTGATTCTGATGGAGTTTCCTTTGTATGTGATTTGTTTCTTTTGTTTAACTGCTTGTAGAATTTTGTTCTTCTGTTGGGTTTCTGGAATCTTTATTATATGCCTATGTGTAGGTTTTTTTTTTAATCATGGCTAGTTTGAGTCCTATATGCCTCACTTATCTCTGTCAAGTTCTTTTCCCCTGTTTGGGAAGTTTTCCACCATTACTTCTGCGAACAGCTTTTTTTATGTCATCTGCACTCTCTCCTGTTTCTTCATTGACTCCAGTTAGTCTGATGTTATTCTTCTTTGCATTGTCTAGCAGCCGCTGGATTGATTTCTCCTGGCCCCTTACTATTTTTAAGAAATTTTTCTTTTCCTGGTCACTAATTGCCATTTTATCTTCTATATCTGAAATTCTATCCTTGCATTGGCTCATTTTGCTGTGTAAACTTTCAATGGAATTTTTAATCTCATGGAAATCTGTTGGCATCTGTTTTATGGATTCCATTTGTTTCCTTTGTTGGGATTCCATCATGTTCCTCAGCTCCTCTATTTTTTTATCTGTGTCCTCTCTAGATTTATTAATCATATCTTATACTATGGGCACAATCTCTGCTGTTATCTGAGAAATTATTTCTGATTTCATTTTTTCCAGTTCCTCTTTCATTGCCAGTTCAGGGAGTCCAGGTGGTTGAATATCAGATTATTCCATGTTGTTGCCCTTTGGGGTTTCCTTGGGTGATCTGGAAGTCTGGTTTTGAGACTTATTTATGTGTCTTCTCATTTCAACAGATGCAGCCTACTGTACCTTTGTTGAGGCAACTTTTTGCTCACCCAGTGGTCTTGAATTCTCAGCAAGCCACCGTGCAGTCTTTACTCAGCTGCTCACCAGCACACCAATTCCTGGGTTCAGAGTGGTGGCCTTCAGGATCCCTGACCTGACCTGTTGTCTGGGTGGGTTTCTGGCTGGTGTCTGTGCACACTTGGGATGGTATCTAGGAGTGCCTCTCACAGAGGCCCCTATGTAGCTGTTTTCTGGGAGGCCCTTTGCCTGGGGGCTGTGGACCCCAGTTCCTGTTGTCTGCAAAGGCTTTGGCTAGGGTCTCCATGCACTTATCAATGGTATTGGGGTGAGCCACTGGGTATTCTTGTGCGACTGTGTAGCCCTTTTCTGAGTGGGTCCTTGGCTGCAGCCAATGGTATGGAGAGCCTCTGGCTGAAGCTTGTGTGCCTGTGGAGCTCTTTTCTGGGCAGGACTTTGGCTGGGGCAGGTATGCAGGAGCCTCTGTGGTCGAGGTGGGGCCCTGGCTGGGATCCACCTGCAGCTGCACTGATCTGGGCCTCACAGATCTGGCTCCCTGGGATCTGCACGCAATTACCAATGGAATGGTGGGCCTCTGGTGAAACTTGTCTATTTTCTGATTCTTGGATCAACCTCTTTTTCCATCTTTGTCTTCTGGCTTTTCCTCTTTCTCCTCCTCTCCATCAGTCAGTCCTTTATTTATTGCTCACTGATTGATCTATTATGCTAGTCTGCATCAGATTCTTCTTTTTTAATTTCCTCTTCCACAATCAAAATACTAGTAGCTGAATAGTCTCCTCTATACCATTGGTCAGTGTTTGAAATATATATTCCTTCTATTTTGGTGATTCCTGTAAGCCATGAGTTTCAAATCCACTTATTTTTCTTTAAAGTATCCATGATACCTTAGGGCAGATGTTGAGAAAGGCCAACAAAAGAAACACATATCTGCTGTACTATAAATTTCTCTTTGGCAAGACGTGTCAGTAACAGCCATGGAACCTATGTGGGCTATAGTGATCCTAGAAGAAAACTACTTAGATCTCATTTATTATATAACAATATGGGAACTTAGTGCTGCCTTGTATTGAGGAGAAATTTGCCATGGGTTATATGAATAGGAGAAAAACTTATTAATTCCTTAGAATATTCCAAATCATGTGTTCATCTTTGTACCCATATTATAATATTCATCCTCACAGCAATATTATGAACTTTTTTATCTTCACTCAGATAAGACTAACACTTAAAGAATTGATAGTCACACAGCTGATTAGTGTTAGTTTAGATTAAATCCAGGTAGGTCAGGCTGAAACCTCAGGATCATTCTACTCCAACCATAGTAGCTCTCAGACTTTATGTTTGGGAGGTCTAGGGTAGGGCTCTGAATTTGTATTTTAATAAGTACTCCAAATGATTCTGTGGTCCAACACCAACTGTCCTCAAACTGCTTCCCTATTGAGAATCACAGGTAATGATGCCAAATCTAAACAAAACAACCAATGCAATGTGACCCAGAAATTACTATGTGTGAGATTCCTTCTGGCTTGGGGGTAGATACAAATATGACAATACCTTCCTATCAAGAAATGTTTTCCCCCAAGGTAAGATATGAACAGAGTAGAAGGTAAAATAATAAGAGATCTAAATGTTAGCTTATTTTATCTGTAGAAGTTATTTCACAAGGCTGTACATGATTCAGTGACAAATAAAATGCAAGGGTGCTACTTTCCAGAAGAATTCAGAAGGGAGACAATAATTTCAGACCAGAATGTTCGAAAGGATTCATGTGTGAGGTGAGAGGTGAGTGGACAAGATTTGAAATGGGGCAGCATATGATGGATAGTGACAGTGTGGGCTGTGACCCCAATAAAGTTCTGGATCACATACAGCTCAGTCTTTGTAAGATGTTACATCTGAAGAAACATGCCTTATCCACCTAAAAGTAACTAAGTAATCCTGATCTTTACTTATATAATTTGAAGGACATTAAAGGAGAACAATACTGAAAACTACTTTTGACATTTAGGTGATCAATTATCCTGATTTTCCCCAAACTAACATGTAGGGCTTTTAGGCTTAACACCAGGAAAGTACTGGGCCAGCTGGGAAAAAGTGATCATCCTCCTTGAGAGGCTTTTATTCTTTGTGACTGAAGGGACACGAAGAGTATTTTGTGAGTGGCAGAATCCAGCTCATGGATAGCACCAGGAATGGGCTGTGCTTCTGAAATGTCTGTGCAGATTCCGTGCCAATTGTAGCCTTGAAGCCTACAGAAGGCTTCCACTGTGGTCAGTCAAGGAGTCCTAAAGGGCCTCTTTGAAGCCTGCTCAAAACAGGAGTGCCCCTCTTCCTGGTCTGTGGGAAAGGAGTGTTGTTTACAATGGCTTTATGTAGCGCTGGGAACGATGGCAGTGACTATGAAGGAACAAAAACTAGGGCCTGATTTAATTTCTTGGACATTTCTAAGGCCAGGAATTCTTTTATGATCCAAAGAAGGAGGGAAGAGAGCCCAATAATTTAATTGTTACTTAGCTAGTCTACCTGATTTTGTCAAATGAGAGTTCAGAGTTCGCTATACTCTTATAGTCAATATAACATTTAATATCCAGGGTTGAATTCCACCTCTTCCACTTTTCTAGCTATATAACCAGAGGTAAGTTACTTAATTTCTCTGAACCTTGGTGTCTTCATAAAGTTGCTCTACCTTATAGGGTCATGATGTGGAGTAAGTTAACATTTGAAAAGTACTTCAGATATACCCGACACATTGTAAGCTTTATATAAAGGTTTGCTAAACTAATTTAGAAAAGGAATTGTGCCATTTCTTGCAAGGATTAGGAAAGAAATTTATATCCATGAACTCATAGGAAAGCCGTTGAATTTGTGACTAAAGTGTCACTGGTGACATGTGGGAGGCAAGTTTCAGTGAGTTAAGAAGGAGTGAATCATGAGCCATGGAGGCTCCTTGTACATATTATACACTGAATGGCTGGTGGGGAAAGGAAATGGAGGGCAGGAGATCCAAGCTGCCTGGAGGACACAGAGGCTCCTGTAGTGCTTTTCCTGCTGGGACCAAGGCTTTCTCATCCTTTCTAGTTTTCTTTTCCATTTTCCCAGTCTTCCAAATAAACAAAACCCCAGCTGGGCGACCTCTGGTCCAGGGCCAGACCAGCATGGAATCTAGCAATGATATTCAGGGTTGTATTTGTGTGCAGTAGTTTAAGGGCTTATAAAACAGAATGAGAAATTGTAAGTACCTCACTGACAGTTCACAAAGATTCTGATTTCAAGGTCAGAAGCATCAATATCCTATTGATTCCAGATTTTCACTGACAGCAGACATAGTAAGGAGGTGGGCCCTTACTGCCCAATACCCACACAAATAGGATCAGAAAGGGGAGGGCCTTCTTCAGGAGGAGGAATCCTGGGGCACTGGGCATCAGTGGGTATTAACCTAAAGACCTGGAGTGTTCTGGATGCTCATTGCTGCCAACTGTTGAACATGTATTATATATGGGAATTACACAGGAATGCGCATTGTATACGAATTATGCAGTAATTATGTACATATATATTATGTTTTATCGATACAAAAGACTCATTTTTCATACTGGCTAACTGAGTCACAAGGAATTTGATAATTTTTCCATGGAAACAATGATGTACCTGAGCTAGATCTGGTATTTCTTTCAAACTACTGTTTTATTCACTTCAAGACCCACAGTTTCTAAAGTTTGGTCTATTAATTGGTGCTGAGCTGGCCACATAAGAGGCCCATTGGAAACAGGCTAAATGTATAAACTCAATCCTCATTATTCTAATTATAGTGGGCTCAGGGGGACCACAAATCTGAACTTTTAAAAGCCAGTCAAGTGATTCAGTTGTGGAGACAGAATGAAGAAAACTATAGTGGGAATCTGGAGTGTTCCTAAGTTCTTTTTGGTCTCTCCAAGTTCATAATGAAAAAAAATGAGCCATATTAGCCCTTATCTCTACCCTTCCATTCTCCATTTCAGAGACAGTAAAAGGAAAGGAAGAGAGGAGCGGAGACAGCCAGGAGGAGGAGGAAATGGAAGCCTGAGACCTGTACTTTCCTACATACTTGTTGTTCTAAGATTTTAAAATCAGGTAAGATTCTAAGGCAAAGATGGCTGAATGAAGGCCAAAGATGAGCCCAAGGAGAAGTGGAAGCTTATTATAAGAAGCAAAACTGAACTCTGCATTTTCCCAGGAGACTGGAAATCTAGCTTCTGGTTACAGCTACAGCTATGGGCCCCTGGGCAGCTACTTAGACTCTGAACCTCATTCACCTTCACCCACCGTAGAGTGAAGCGACAGGATTAGATGATCCCAAAGGTCCTTGTACTGCTGCCATTCTATGATGGTGTTAGCTGTTGATCCCAAGCTTCTCAGTCAGCAAGAAGCCTGGGGCTCTCTCCTGTTCAGCCTAAGGAGATGGAGAAGGAGAAGGGAGAGGCAGTGGAGGGAAGGAAAACAGTCAGCCTCTGTCCCCACAGGGAGACCCTGTCTCCTGTGGGCAGATCAGAGCCTGTGGGCAGGTTGGGGTGGGGCCAAGGTGATAAGGGATCAACCAGCTGATATTTCTGTTCAGAGCTAAAGCAGAATAATTGAACTTAATGTCCAAGCACAAACTAGTCCATAAATCCAGGTGCTGTCTATTTGGAAATTTCAGAAGGGCTCTGCTTCCCTTAATCTTATCTCTGCCAGACAGTTACTGTGTTCTTGATGTAATTAGAGTGATAAAACAATGTGACACAACTGCTGGTTTCTATCATGGCATCGATGCTGTTGACTTAAATGACAAGGTAATAATTTTATAAGAGGCCCTTTATTTTTATTTCTTTCCATTGTGGATAGGTGTTTTCCAAATGAGGGTGCATATCTTTCCAGATAAATTCACCAGACACCATATGTTAAGAGCTGCTTCATTCATTGTCATTTAATGGAGTTCTTACATCTCCCAAGGGATGACTGAGATTGTTCTATGTAGTTAAAATAAGAGGACCATCTAGGGATTTCCAGAACTTTAGCACATTTACCACAGAGCTGGGTGATTTATGCTTCCTTCAGAATTAACCCTGGAGGGAACAAGACTATCTTTTCCACCTGCAGTTTTGTAGACATGTTTCCCATCTCTTCTGTGAGAAAGACTTAATTTGCCTGTGCAAATAGACCCTATGCCCATGAGGGAGTTGGCCAAGTAGATTTGTCAAAAGACAGACATTTCTGACCTTTGGGGTTAAACTCACATAATCTAGAAAACAGTATTCCTAGACAGTGAGGAATGGAGATTGACAATTGAAAGCAAGTTTAGTCTGAAACCAAAAAGCCATTCTGAGTCCAAGGACAAACTCAAACCATCTTTGGAAATGCAAAGAGCCTAAAACCCAAGGCTGGGTCCAATTTGCACTTCTCTAGGAAGAAGTTTTGTTGGGATCCTACATTCCAGCAAGGACAGTCACAGGCACATGTTGACAGAGATTCAGAGCTGAGTCTTCAGCACCCACAGGCTCAAACATTTTCCTGTCAAGAATAAACTTTAGTGCAGAAATTTCATGTTTAATTATTTGCAGATATGGCTATGCAAGGCTATATGGACAGTATATGGCTGCCGTGTGTTTCCAGGAAAGACTTTCTCCCACTCTAATACACCCTGATGTCTGGAGCACTGGGGTGGAGTCATAAGGCTTACGGACAAGAGCAGTCAAGTCAATCTTCCTTTATTTTAACCCTGGGAAAGTTTCCAGTCTCATTCCATATGGCTGGCTGGCTGCTCTGCCATGTCTCAAGAGAACTGGCAAGAAGGACCCTTTAGCATGCCAGGGAAGCATGAAAAAAATGAACAGAATGTGCAGAGGGCCAGAGACAAGTGGTGATCCAGCTTGTAGGGTTCGAGAAGAAATGACTCCCCTGAACAGCCTATTGCTCTGCCCCAGTGGACAGACTTATGAGGTAGGCTTTTCATGGAAAAAGGAGCAAAAGTCTCATGAAACTTATTCCTAAGGATAAAAGTTGCTATCAGTAAATGAACAGGACCACTAGTTACCATCTTTCATAGAAAGTTAAGATGCACTGCAGAGGGCAAGACCTTTACAAACTTTGGAAGATTTTAGGACCATACCTCCTTCTCTTGTTGAGTTTCTAAAGCAAGACATCTGTAAAACTCCTAAAACAGAAAGGATCCACGGCTTTGTCTTTTACAGCAAGGAAAAAGTGAAGAGTCAAGGGTCTTATGTGGTGCTCTGTGGCCAGCTTCAGGGTCAGGGTGAAAAGTCCCAGAGAAGGGAGATAATTGAGATTATGGAGAAGAAAGAGGAGAATAAAAGGCCCCAAGGACCCTGGAAAGGAAGGAAAGAGAACCTTGGGAACTGGCTCACTTCACAGAAGGACGTGTGGAGCGAAATCTGCCTCCCTGAAGCCATCCAGGAACATTGTTCTCCTTCTTTCCCATGACAGCCCTTCAAACAATGAAGAGACCATGCATGTCTCTTGATGAATTCTTGAAGATTAAAACCTTTCCAGGATCTAGTCAACTGGGAAAACTGCAAGAGTACTGAGTTACTCACACTTCCACATAAGCTTTACCAGGACATCTGTTTCATGTACAAACAAGGCTCAGAGGGAAAATGCAGGTGACTGGAGCCCTGAGCCACCATTAATTCTTGCTACCACTTATTCCATGCTTATCTTGTGTCAGATAGCTGGACACCTTGCATATGTTAGCATACCTAGTTCTCCCAACAGTGTGATGAAATGGTTTGTATGATTATCATCCCCACTCGATTAATGAAAAAAATAGGTTCAAAGAGGTTAACTCATTAGCCCCAAAATTGTTAAAGAAATCTATCTGATTTTTTAAAATTTTACCTGCAAGGAAAAATCTGAACTAGACACAGCCTAAAGATCACCAAGGAATAGATCGCCTTATCTTCTACGCATTTCTTTGGGGGGAAAAACAGAAGGAAATTTCCCAAATAATTTTTAGATGATGAAAATCCAGTAGAGATAGTATAAGAAAATTATTCTCTAGTCTCATTTAAGAACCTGAATGGAAAAAGTCCTAAAGACATAGCCAGGCATGGTGATGTATGTATGTCTCTAATCACAGCACTCTGGCAAGCAGTAGTTTGAACTCAGACTGAACAACTTAGTCTTAGCATGACCTTGTCTCAAAATAAAAAAATAAAAATGAAAAAAGGTCTGGGGATGGTTGTAGCACAGTGTGAAGGCTCTGGGATCAATCCCAATACTAGGGAAAATAAAAGATAGACAATCATTAATAAATTTGAAAAGAAAAATTCAACAAAAAAAACCAAGCTTAGGCTCTCCAAGAGTCCAAAGTTGGCTTGGCTATAGAAACCATTTATTTAACTCATAATGTTATCATACTTAATCTCAAATATTATTGATCACTTAAAAGATGCTTTAAAAACTTTTAAGAAATTTAAAAATCTTTTGGTGATGAACATATAGCAAACTAAGAAAGAAAACAATCCTCTTTAGCATGACAGAAAATATGTACCTCAAATATATTTCCTAGTGGTACTGAGAAGTAAGTTCATTAACCTCAGAAACAATTCCAGGGTATTCTTTTCTTATTATTACTGTCTCATACGTCCTGAAGGATCTGGCCAATGCTAAAAGACATAAAACAGAAATGAGATACAAAGGTTAGAAAGAAAGAACATTTTTATTAATTTCATACATATGAGTGATTATATAAATATTTAAGAGGATAGACTGGAAAATTAGAATAGGAATAAAAGTGATGACTATTAGATCAACAGACAGTAATAGGATTCTATACCAATTACATAATGTACTTCGCAACAACCACTAGAACTGTAAGGTAGTGAGAAACAGACAGGCAGGGAAAATAGAAGAAAATGATAAAACTTTATTAAAGGATATAAAATTCTGAGTTAATCCAGAAATACACCATAGTCATGAATGGGAAGGCACAATATCATTAAGATGTGAACTCAGGTAATAATATATGAATTCAGAAAGATGCTAAACAAAATTCATCTAGGATGGATCATGGAATTGTACAAATTGACTTTTTTTCTTTTTTTCTCACTTTTTAAGTGCATATTGGTCATACAGATTAGTGAGTTTCATTTTGGTAGATTTTTACATGTTCATAATGTATTTTACTCACTCTCCCATCACCCCTTTCCTCCCCCTCCCTCTCCCCCTTCGTTTCACCTATGATTAGTTAAGACAATTTTGAAAGAAAAAAGATAGAGGGTTTGTAAGAAGGATTTCCCTATCTAGTAGTAATTATTGTAAGTTATAGTAGAACCAGAGTTGAACGAAGTGATCAATATTCTAGATTGGACCAGTAGAATTTTCTATACTGACAGAAATGTTCTATTTTTAAGCTGTTTGATACAGTAAGTACTGCTGACACTGAGGACTTGGGAATATGGCTTGTATTGCTTAAATATAAAATTCTTGATAGTATTTAACTTTAATCAATTAAAATTTAAATAGTCATTTTTGACTCATGGCTACCATATTTGGAAGCACATTTCTATGACTGAAGTCTTACAAGCTGACAAAACAAATATGGTACCATAGTATCAGACTGAGGTAACATTATACATTAGTGGAGAAAAATAAAATGGCTGCATGTAGAGGAAAAATGTATATGCAGATAAGTTTAAATCTCTACCATACCCAACAGTACAAATAAATTCCAGATGAGTTAAGACCTAAATCTGAAAATTAACTTTAGTAAAACTTTTAGAGATAATTTGGGAGAATATCTCCTGAATCTTGCCTTACAAAAAAATTCTTAAGCAGGACCCCAAAATACAAGTCTTAAAGGCATTAATTAATACATTTAACAATATTAAAGTTAAAAACTTCTATATGTGAAAATATGGCATAAAAACATTAAAAATACAAGCAACATAATGGGAGAATATATTATATATATATGTATATATATATATATATATGACAAAAAATAATTATCCAAAATACAGAAAACAACTACAAATCAACACAGAATAACAAATAACTCAGTGAGAAATATGGACAAAGTATATGAAAAATGATTTCTAAAAGAAAAGATCCAAATAGGCAATTAGAAACATGAG